CAGTATTCAGAACTTCTTCTTTCTTGGGTTTTTGAAGCTTCACAGGCAGCTTAGATAAATTCTCTTCTCTTGTCTAGCTCTGTATTCTAGGTAATTTGCAACTGAAGGCTTTGCTTATAATGGAGTTAATTATACCTCACTCCAGTGGCTCAGAGGATAAAGCGTCTGCCTGCAATGCGGAAGACCTGGGTTTGATCCCTGGGTTGGGAATATCCCCTGGAGAAGGAAATGGCAACCCACTCCAGTATTCTTGCCTGGAGAATCCCATGGACAGAGGAGCCTGGCAGGCTACAGTCCATGGGGTCGCAAAGAATCAGACAGAACTGAGCGACTTCACTTCACTTCCACAAATTTGAATCTGAAATTAGTCAGAGTCACTTGACTTCTAGATACCACTTTTAAAAATTTTCCTTCTCTGTCATTGGTGGCCTGTTCTCAGTCTTCTTTGCCGGTTCTTCCTCTTCTTCCCGCCCTCTTAATGTTGGAATACCTGCATGTCTCAGTCTCAAGTCCTGTGTTCCCCCTCTCTACCCTGAGCACCTAGGTCATCTCATCAGGTATCAAGTTTTAAATAGCATCTATAAGTTGATGATTCTCAAATTTATATTTCCCAGCCCAGACCTCTTCCATGAATCCTAGATTTTTATTTCTGACTACATGACATTTTCATGTATTGTCCAGTAGACATCTCAAGTTTAACATTTCCAAATTGAACCCCTGAAAATCTGTTATATCCCAGAACCTTTCCTGACTAGCTGATGGCAAGTTCATATTTCCAGTTGGTAATTGCTTAAGCCAAAAACTTTGGAGTCATCCTTGACTCCCCTCTGCTCTTTCACATTCCACATCTATTAGGAAATCTAGATATAATTGGGGGGAGGGGGGGGAAATCCACAAAGGTACTGCTTTGCACCACCTCCACCACCACCTCCCTGTCCTGTCTAGATTACTGCTGTTGTTCCACACTCTGTCCTTGATCCTCTGCAGACTAAACAGAGCAATTAGGGTAACCCTTTTAAAATGGAAGCTCAATCATGGTCCTTAGTAACTTTCCATTTTACTACACTGGACAAATTAATGTCTGTGCCTCAGTTACTTCATCTGTAAAAAGAGAATAATACCTCCCTCAGAGGATTGTGGGATTCGATAAGGGGAAACATGAAACGCATGCTCAGCACCAACCTAATGCAGAGAAAATCAAATTTAGCTGCTGTTACTATTGTGCACCCTCTAAATCAGAAGCCTACTTTTGTTTCCTTGTTTTGCAGAGCTTGAGGTGGGAGGGTTCTCTAGGAACGTTTAGATTCTGAGTACCTAGCTCATTTCTGTCTAGTAAAATCCTCTGTTCATTAGTACCAGAGGATGGGACGTCCAGAAACACTATTCCTTTAGCCAGAGGAAATTCCATTTCTAACTTCACTGTTTTTATAAGTGATTCTGTACTTGGTTTCCTGCACAAAATAGAAATTGCTTGGTCAGTAGAAAGTTCCTTACTTCAGTCAGTACCATAGTTCCTAACTTTTGAAGCATTTTTTTCCCTAAAGGATAATGAGAAGAGACAGCTTCCCACTTACTTGTTGATTGAGCCTTTTGTTTGATGTCTTGTCCTGACCCCTTTTTGTTTTTTTAATTAAATTTGTGATATCACATATTTAGAGTTTGGGTGTTTTTTTTCCCCCTTCGTATAAGCCTTACCTCTCTGAAACTATTGATTCCTGGAAGACACTTATAATATTTAATGTTCCCACTCATATTTTCTGTTATGTCTTGCTGGTTTTTACAACAAACCAAAAAGAGAAGGAAGAATTTAACAATAAAAACTGTCTAATAGTAATAAGATGCGGAGAGCATAGTCTAAAGGGAGGGTGCTGAGCTGGGGCCTTCTGAGCCTCATTCTGCCACTGACTAGCCATTTGACCTTGTGGGCTTGTGTTGCACCTTCTACTTGAATTCTAGCAAAAGAGGCTGAGAGAGAGGAGACTTGGCTCCTGAGAGGAGGTGAGGAATATAAGAAAAGTTGGTTAGGGACCAAACCCGCTAACAGTGGAAGGGATACTGGGGCAAACATACTGGTTCTGGTTCATAAAGGACCCAGGGTGCAGGACCCTAGGCCTGCGCAGCTTATGCCCAGGGCTGGGAGAGGGGGGCTTCGGACTCAGTTCCCTGAATAGAGGGAGAAGGAAAGACTTGAGACTCTGGTAAAAAGCAAAAACAAAAAGCCTATTCTGATGGCTTGAGCCCCTGTTTTGATGATAGTGTCTGCTTGCCCCACAGATAGGAGACAGAAGCACCGTGGAAGTCAGTGTTAGCATGATATAGACACTTCCTATGTCAGAAAGCTGGAGCAGTAATACAATGTTGTATGTCAGTTATATCTCAGTAAAACTAGGGGGAAATGAATAAAACTGGAACAATCTCTGGATTCTGAAGCTGGGGTAAAGCAAAGAGAATTCTTACATGCAGATTCTTTGGAGAGCAGTTAGACCAGCTCTCCAGTGACCTGGGACTGTTGGAAGATATGAAGGAGATGGGGGCAGCTTTTGAGACCCTCCTAGCAGCTGCATTGTTGTTATCTTGCACCCCTACCTGTTTCCAGTGTGATGCATTGCTAAAGAAATATCAAGTCTCTTCTCTGTGCTTTAATTTAGGCTTCCTAGGACTATAGCAGAGACCCTAAAGAATAGACTAGGTTTTAGAAATTGCAGAGAAAGAGACAGGAAAAAAGTACATTCTCTGAGTCTTGGAAGGAATATTGCTGCTTTTAGAAGTGAAAGTCATCTTATACCCCAGTGAAATCCTTTAAGTTAGTAGGCTTTAGTATTCATTATTAAGAAGATTGTTCTATGCTCCGAGGGGCTACTCACTGACTCTTCTCAGTAACAATCCATAGCTTCTTTCTGTAGTTTCTCAACAGTTATCAAAGCTGTTGCTGATGGAAACCTTCTTCACTTGATTAACATGAGTAGTTCCCAGTTTTTTGCTGCTGTTGACAGTGTTTATTGAAAGAGACATCTTTGTACTTAAATAGTGTGTGTGTGAAAGAGCAAGCCTAGTAAATTCTTAAGCTACTGGCTTAATTTGTTCAGTTTTTTTTTTTATTGAAGTATAGTATACATACGGAAAAGTATACAAACCACAGGTCAGTAAATATTCACAAAATGCACACATGTTTATAATCACTACCCATATCAAGACAAAATCACCAGCACCCTACTAGCTTCTCTCATCCTTCTTCCCAAGCCCTGCCACCTCACTCCTCCCCACAGTAAACACTATGGTATATCATTATATACATAAACACATTTATTTACTCATTCTAACTGCACTGCTCTGCAGGGCCACCTTTGTCATAAATCAGTTATCTGTAAATGAGGGTCTGTTTCTGGACTCTTCATTCTGTTTCATTAATATATTTGTCTGTCTTTGTGCCAAAACCTTACCGTCTTGATTATAGCTGTGTCTTATGTATATATGTGTTTTTTGTATGTTTTGTTGTTGTTCAGTTGCTAAGTTGTGTCTAACTCTTTGCAACCCCATGGACTGCAGCACACCAGGCTTCCCTGTCCTTCACTATCTCCTGGAGTTTGCTCAAGTTTGTCTGTTGAGTTGGTGATGCTATCTAACCATCTCATCTCTGCCTCCCTCTTCTCCTTCAGTCTCTCCCAGCATCAGGGTCTTTTCCAGTGAGTCAACTCTTTGCATCAGGTGGCCAGTGTATTGGAGCTTCAGTTTCAGCAGTAGTCCTTCCACTGAATATTCAGAGTTGATTTCCTTTAGGATTGACTGGTTTGATCTCCTTGAAGTCCAAGGGACTCTCAAGAGTCTTCTCCAGTACCACAGTTCAAAAACATCAATTCTTTAGCACTCAGCCTTTTTATGGTACAACTCTCACATCCCTGCATGACTACTAGAAAAACCATAGTTTTGACTTTCTCTTTGCTTTTTAATATGCTGTCTGGTTTGTCATAGCTTTCCTTCCAAGAAGCAGATATCTTCTAATTTCATGGCTGCAGTCACCATCTGCAGTGATTTTGGAGCCCAAGAAAAGAAAAAATTTTTCTGCTTCTACTTTTTCCACTTTCCCTGCTGCTTTTGTATGTTTAATGTAACTTAATTATACTGAATAATAATGTCTTAATATATTTTAGAATAAGTCCTTTCACCTTGTTCTTTTTAAGATTACCTTGATAATTTTTGTCCCTATGCATTTCCATAAAACCTTTATAATCAGCTTGAAATTACCCCTCCCTCTTCCCCCAAAAAGCATGCTAGAGTTTTTATTGGAAATCCTGTGAGGAGAATGGACAGCTTTATTATATTGAATGTTACAATCCCTGAAAATGATGTGTCTATCTGGTCTTTGATTTCTCTCAATAATATTTTATGGTTTTCTGTGTAAAGATCCTACACATCTTTTTAAAAACTATTCCCTAATTATTGCTGCTTTTAGAAACATAACTTTACATATTGAAAAGTGCAAGTTTTTAATTATAAGATTTCATGAGGTTAAAAGTATACATCATTTTAAGAACCACCTAACATTCAAATTACTATGGGAATATTGGGTACATTAAGAAAAGTAAAGCTGCAGATTTCAGAAGGAAATCAGGAGGAGCCTATTCCTAAATTGTGTGAATTCTTTGTTAGATGCTGGAGAGAGATGGCCAAGGGCTTACTTTCTCAGCTATTAATAAAATAATTGGAACTTGGAATATTAGGATGCTTTTCTTTCTTCTTCAGAGACTCTAAGCCTTCTCCCAGGCAGCCCACATTTGGGAGCACCTAGGCAAGAGTAGAGCAGGTGGGGTCAGAGTGAATAGAAATTTCACTCAGTCCTCAACTCTGGGTGCTCTTGAACTGACAGACTTCCTTCCTATTCCAAAACTCACCAAGAATGAAGCAGTGAACCCACCCAGCATCAGGCAATGCAAGCTTCCCAAAGCGATGATGACAGTGCCTAGTTCCTTAAACTTATACTTGGCTTTTATTTTTTTTTGTAGGTCTACAAAGGAGAATTTCAGCTACCTGAATTTCTTAAAGAAAAACCTCAGGTACTATATCTGCTTCCTCCTCTTGGTGTAATAATAAATGGGGTCTTGCATTGAAGTCATCCTCTCAATGAGATAATGATATGTGCTGGGGGTAGAAAGACTGGCTTCTGGTAATTGTTGATTTTAACAATCAGTTAACATAGTCTCAATTTCAGAGGGCTCAGTGTCTTCCAAAGTTAGGGAAATATTTTATTGATAACTAAAATCTGATTGCTTGAGGTCACTCAAAACTGCATAGTATTCCACAAATAAGGAACCTGCCTTGGTGAATCTGCTCCATGCTTCTGATACCTTACTTGAAATAATAATGTACAGCCACCCTTTGTTCATATTACATGTACATCCATTGCCTTTTAGTTTTTCTCATTTGGAGCCTAAAAGACTTATGAATACATTTTACACATAGTCATTGGCCTTCAACTACCAAGTTCACCAAGCTGGGAATGGGTGATGTGAGTTTGAAGCTTATAACTTTTACTTTTTAAAAAAATTAATTAAAGCAGATCCATAGGTCTCCTTGTCATGTTACACTATCACTTACTTGGATTCCAGTATTGTTTATTGAGCTGAAGAGGAATAGGTGATGTTATGGCCAACAGATGTAGAGTAGCCCAGAGTGTCCCGCAAGAGCACATCTCCTACCATTTCTGTGTAGTCGTAGGAAGAAGTCAGTGACTTTATTACCTGAGCCGAGAGAAGACGTCCCTGTCCAGCATGGTGATAATACGTGTCGCTTCCAGGTTGCTGCTAACAGCAGTTAGCTTGTTAATAGGAAATGAGGACCCAGCACTGAATTCAGTCGCTAGAAGTGTTCCAGATCTGGGTTGTTGAGGGGAACCTCACAGGCTGTATGAAGTCATGTTGCCTGAAGCAAGACTAGAGTAAACAGGCTTTTCTCTAAGAGTAGCTGTATCTCAACCATGGTTGGAAACTCTGTCTTCTCAGATCCTTGTCTTAAAACAGCCATTAATAACTGATACATATTACTTGAGTATTTTAAACTACTTTCATGGTATATGCTTATTAACATATTTAATTTTAATCCGTCCATCCATTCATTTCATTTATTCAACAACTGTCTACTGAGTCACTTTTATGTGTGAGAAATTGGAATGTGTCCTCAAGAGTCAGAGGGAAAAGAGATCTTCTTAAGGGGACTCCTGGTCTGTCCAAAGACTTTGGTCGACTTTTGCAAACAGAGGGGCGCAGGGGCCCTGAGCCTTGGCTGGGCAAGATGTACCCGAAACCTGGATGAGTTCATGAACAAGTGGTCACTTACAGGCGGTGGCAGCTGGAGCCAGAGAATAATCTAAGAGGCAGTCTTAAAGAAATGTCCAATCCAAAAGCTGTTTTGCATAATAAATCTGAAGGAGTCAAGAAAGGGACTTTGAGACTGAAATTAAAGGGACACCCCTGATTGACAGCATACATAAAAATCCTTTCCAGGTTGATTATAGAACTCAGTGTGAAAGGCAAAATAATAACGTGTTTAGGAGGCAGTAGAGAATATCTTTATGACCTTAAGAGGGAAAGATTTCTTAAACATTATAAAGAATACTAATCATTCATTTTAAAATGGATAAGTTGGACTACATTAAAATTGAGAATGTTTGCTTATTAGAAAGCATCATATAAAAAAATACACCTTAAGGAGGAGAAAATTTTGAAACAAAAGATTCATCAGTATAGAGAATTTCTGTAATAAATAAGGAAAAGATAACAAAAAATAGAAAAACGGCTTAATATAGGCACTTCAAGGCCCCTGTTCAGGTTAGTTTCATTTAATGCATCACATACATACTTAGAAAAGAGCCTATAAAAGGCTTTGATTTAACTCCTAATAAAGAGAAAACTGAAGCCCACAGAACCCTCACATTTGATCTTTAGTTAGAATTATCACAGAACTCAAGAAAGCACTGTACTTACGATTACAGTTTTGGGAATTCCCTGGCAGTTCAGTGGTTAGGACTCAACGATTCCATTGCCAGGGACCTGGGTTCAATCCCTGGTCTGGGAACTAAGATTACACAAGCCTTGCAGTGGGGAAAAACAACAACAATAAAACAAGATTATAGTTTTACTATAAAGGAAACAAGTCAAGACAAACCAAATGAAGAAACACATAAGACAAGGTCTGGAAGAGTCTCAGACTCAGAGCTTCTGTGCCCATCTCCAAGGTGTCTAGGTACTTCTCCCTCACAGCACATCCATGTGTTCACCAACCAGGATGTTCCACTGATCTTCAGCATCCAGAGTTTTTATTGAAGTCTAATTACGTAGGCATGATTGATTGACTCACTGTCATAGAATTGAACTCAATCCCAAAGTCCCCTACCCAGAAGCTGGGCTGGGTCAGGGCCCCAGCCCTCAAATCATAGGTTGGTCTTCCTTGTGATCAGCCCTCATGCTGAGTCATCTTACCTCTTAGCAGACACTCAGGTATAATCTAAGGGGCTCACCAATAACAGATATTCATGTTACCTGGAAAATTCCCAGGATTTAGTCTGTCTACTAGGAACAGAGACAAAAGCCAGTCTTCTTTACTGTCAGCAGTAGCAGACAGAATTCATTAGGAAGTCTAATCGGAGTCTGCAAGCTACATCTGATATTTCAGCAAGTACAGTCACTTCTCATGCTGACCGACTGAAAAACATCTTTTGCTTCCTTCCACAGTCTGAGCAAGTGGAGTAGCAGAGCCAGGAACCTCTTACATACATGAGGTGAGGTTGGGGACACTGCTGGCCTGGACTTTTGGGTTTCACTCTCATAGGAGGCAGTGCAGTGGGGTGGGGAGCACAGCTCTGAAGTCAGTTCACCTGGATTGGAATCTTGACTGTGTATGGCAGTGAGCAGATTACTTAACTTCTCTGTGTCTTAGTTTCTTCATCTGTAAAGTGAGGACAATGTAAATAAGAGATTGGTAGAATGAACCGTAACAATGTCTTCCAGAAGCCTGACACACAGTAAGCACTCATTGTTAGTTGTTATTTTCAGTATGAGGAGGGGTGTTAAATGGTAAAATATTTTAGCTGAAAGAAACACCCTCAACCACCTGTTTGCTGATAAGGAAACTGATCCTAGAGAGAGCAGATTATCCGTCAAGGTCACATCACAGGTCGGAAGAACCCAATGGTAATGAGCACTGTCTTCTGACATCTAGTCAGGGATTCTTTCACCACCCATGCTGCTTCCTCTGTGTGTGACGCGTGCCAACATTTTTGCGCTAATATTTTGGGGAGTTGCTTGGTTGGTTTTTCGTCTGCCCTTGCTGATGTTAATGCATTATGGTGTTGTATGTTTGTAAGCCACGTTGTCTTGTAGTTAAGGGCTACAGTGTGGGGCAGGCCTTCTCGGCCCCCTTTCTATCTTGAGTGATCATCAGGTACATGTCACGGATGCCAGTGGCAAAGCTGGTTCTGAACCTAGACCTCCTGACATGGCTGTTCAGACCTCACACCACTCTCCCAGATTTTAAGATTCCATTTTGGTCTGAATAACATGGTTATGCTGTAGACCAGGGGTCCCCAACCTCTGGGATCTAATGCCTGATGATCTGAGATGGAGCTGATGCAATAATAATAGAAATGAAGTACACAATAAATGTAATGCGCTTGAATCATCTAGAAACCATCCCCCCACCCCTGGTCCATTGATAAATTGTCTTCCATGAAACCGGTCCCTTGTTTGCTTGTCGAGGTCCCTGGTGCCAAAAAGGTTGGGGACCATTACAATCATTTGGAACTTGAAAAGCTTTCATTAAAATCTGATTTTTGCCATAGTTGTGTTTGCTGTTCTATTTTTTACTTTATATAATAGCCATGTATTGACTGTGTACTCCATACCAGGCATGAAGTACCAAGCATCACATATATATAGTATATAAATAATATATGATAAATGATATATTTAAGATCTATGAATTATTCATATATATATTATAGATATATATATACACATACACATATATGAATAATTTCATTCAAGTTGCAAACCAGTCTGGCAAGTAGGTGGTATTTTTTCTGTTCTACTGATGAGAAAACTGAGATTGAAAATTCAGTCTGAATAAGAGAGTTTTATGATGTGCTGTGTATTAATAGATTACAGATAGAAAAAAGCATACTGATGGAAAAAAGTGAATACTGCTGCTATACCATGTCAAAATTATCGACGATAGTGAATTAATACTATTCAGAGGTTTTAGGATTTATGATTGTCTTTTGCTAAGGAGCTAATCCTAAATGTAGACTTAAACTCAGTGGGCATGCAGGTATAACAGCAGTTATCAGGCCTTGTATAATTTTGTTTATTTAAAATATTTTCAAAAGTATAGATGAGACACTTCTCTGGTGGTCCAGTGGCTAAGACTCCATGCCCCCAACGCAGGGGGCCCAGGTTCGATCCCTGGTCAGGGAACTAGATCCCACATGCTGCCACTGAGTTCGAAAGTTCAAATGCTACAACTAAAGATACCACATGCAACAACTAAGACCCAGTGCAGCCAAAAAAAAAAAAGAAGAAGTATAGATGAATTCCTTCCTGGAAACGTCCATACAGGGATGCATTATCGACCAGCTGTTTTACAGGGCAGACGACTCCAGCTTTGAGCTGCCACCGCAGCAGCAGTGCATCCTCATTTGCTTGCAAGGCCTGCAGTGGCCCCCGTGCGGTGAGAGAAGGACTCAGACGCTGGGAAGACACCAGGGCATCTCAAGACAAATCATAGTCTTTTGTCTTGTATTTGGGATCCCTTTAGTGTATGAACAGCAGTCACTGTATTTCCTAAAGCTTCCTTTAAAGAACCTCAGTATCCACCTTTCGATATTAAACAGTCAGCATTCGACCCCTGGACATTTGACTTTCCTGTCAAATGCCCCCAGAGTTGCTTCAATTGCAGACGACAGTTGCAGTCATTTGGAAGTGGGCAGGAGCAGCGCTTGGTTTGGCTTCCATCCTTTTGTTTTGCGTATCAAAGCTCCTGGCAGGCATCTAAAAGCATCCCAAACTGAGAGAGAATGTGCCTCCACAGTAGTCCTTCTGAAGCAGCTCTTCTCCTAACGGTCCTCCCCCTGCTTGTCTCCCCTGCTCTGCTGGGCTCACAGCTGGAAAGGAAGTGGTGTCGTGCAGGGAAGAACAAAGTGACTACACCCCTCTAATGCATTCTGCTTGTCTGCCCTAGGGAAGACTGCTGCCTTTTTGGCCACAGAGAAATTTCTAGGACTGGCTGTCCCCTGCTGAGATCAGTGGAGCGTATGTACCAGGCCTCCATCTCCTGCTTATTTGCCAGTCTCCTTCCTCTGAGAGGGTGGAGTGTCAGTACACGCTGGGACCCTCCTGAGTGGCCTGCTTCCCATGTACAGCGCTCTCGATCCTAACTACGTGCACAGCCCTGCGGAGACGGAACCCAGTAGGGGTGTGTGCTTTCTGTTAAAACTGCTCTGGCCCTCATCTTTTCTTACCAGATTCCAAACTTTGTTTTCAAGGGGAGGGTTTAAAAATGGGATCCTGTAAGCAAAATTGGGCAGTTTCATCTTGGACTAGGTTGTCTGTACATGTTCTAATGTTTTGTAGAACACTTGTACCTGTTGAAATGTTTGATGTGGATAATGTTAAATATCTTAATTATTTAATAATTCATTGTATTATTTCTGAGAAGTTGAGGAATTACCACATACATTTACAACTTGATGACTTTTGTATTTTATTTTTCAAAATAAAAGCTTTAAATGTGAAGCACTCGGCTAGTTTACATGTTTTCATTGCCGTGATTTTAGAGAAGCAATAAGACATATCAGATGATGATCTAATAAACCAAAGTTTCTTCAGTTGCTGTATTTCAGATATTCTCAGTGGAGTTTTTGCTGTAATTTGTTTCAGAGAGACCCACTACCATCCTTTTGTCTCAGAATCCTGTTCTTTTGTTTCCTTCTCAATTGTCTGGTCTCCATAAACTCTAATTTCAGAGAGACTTCCCCTGATGCCCTTTCTGCCAACCTCATTCACAATATCATCTTATCACACTTTGAAGTTTTTAATGTTTCTTGACTTCTTAAATTGTCTGTCTCTTACATTAGATGGTAAGATCCTAGAAGGCAGAGATGTGTCTTTTTGTGTCCATTTTTGTACCCCTGACACCTAGCAAAATGTCTGGCACATTGTAAGAACCTAGTAAAATGTTTGGTAAATGATTAATCTTCCCAGAAGCCTCTAACATATCAGTTTCAGATGAAGAAACAGAGGCCAGCCTGGTCAAGTCATTTCCACAAGGCCCCTCAGCTAGTGCCATGGACCTAGTTTCAAGCCTTACCCTACAATCCTTTCCGCTCCACTCCCCTAGCCCTGTCCCCTTCAACTGAAAATGAATCCTGCTGCCAGATCAGTCCTTTGTTCAGCACTGTGTCTTAAGTCACTCTTTTGTTCAAAAACCTTTGATTCTCTAATGCCTCACACATGACATCTGAACTATTCCACCTCCACAGTGTGGCCTCAGCACCCTTGTGAACAGTACACTTCCTCCCTGGGTCCTTACACTATTTTCTGCTTCTAGATGCCCAGAAACCCAGTCCCTCTCCCGTCTCCCTGGGAAATCCCAGCTCCGTTATGGGCTCAGCTGTCTTAAGTCCCATTACTTGTTACTGCTCTAGTTACTGCTCCAGCCTCCAGAAAGCAATAAAATCAGCTTTAACATAACGTAATTTGCGTTTCTGTTTTTTCCTTATTTCCTGTCTTAGTCTTATGTTACCAGCATTGTAGGGAGGAGGTCACACACATTTCCAGAGCCTATCAGAATGGGAGGCAAGGACATTTTTAAACTATAGCCCAGCCTGACTCCAATACTCACCCCTAGGTGAACATAAAGACTTTTAGTCCCTATGCCTGCCCACCTCTGGAGACTCCACCTTCATGATTGAGATTGTATTGGAAAAGGAAAAGGAACCATTGCACAAAACAGCTGGCTCAGGAAAGAAGAACCACTGCACAAGTGGCCCGGAGAAGCAGAGGCTATGATAGCTGCATCCCTGTTGACATTCCTTCCTTCACAAAGCCCGATTTTCCCGTCTGAGCACATTTCTTTTGAGCTCTGTGAAGCAAAGCGTTTCTGTTCTGTGGGACATCTCAGAGCACCTCTAAGAAGATGACTATTATTTGTGAAATGTTAGATTTGATGGAATCAAATGGAACGCCTGTTGAACAAATGAAAGACACCTGGAGTAAAATTTAAAAAGAGGTAACCGGGTGAGGGACCAGGGGAAGATGTGTCACCTGTGAAGATCAGAGAGCTGCCTGGGGCCAGCAAAGCCATGGCTTCAGCCGTCAGGTGAACCTGTGGGGCCAGGGAGAGGCCGGGGTCCTCAGTGTCTGAGGAAGAGCTTGGAGAAAGCAGCATCCATGAAGAGTCATAGGATTTCAAAATGAGAGGAAAAAAATCTTAGTAATCACTAAGGCTCATAATCACTCTAGAAACATTTATCAAGAACTTCTCATGGTCCAAGCCCTGTGCCTGAGTGCACATGTCTAAACTCATTTAATTCGCAAAATCACATCAGAGGTAGGTATTATTTCTCCCTGCATTTTTACAGACACTGGGTCAGGAGGCAGTACTAGCTTTCCAGACCAGCTAGTAAGTGATGGAATCAGGATGCAAGTACAGGCAACCTGGCTCTAGAGCCTACACCCTTACCCACCATTCTACC